CGCCTTGGGTGGCGACTGGTGAAGGTGAATGGTGCTAGCATCCATGCATCCATGCATTGCACCATTCTTGCGAGCGACAGCATAAAGAGGCCTCGCCGCACCGCCGCCCAGACCCAGACACACGGCCCATTACCGCCCCGCCCCGTCGCTCTGTCCGCTTCTCCCCTCTCTCTCCTGCGGAGGCGACCAAAGGGGTGGTTGGGATTGGGAGGGTAGCCATGTACTGTACAGTACGCATGGATGTGTAGTGCTCAGCAAAGGGCTATATACAAATGGTCACTGAAAAATGCACGCTACCACAAATGGTTATAAGTCATCACGAACGGTCATTGAAACGGGAAAATCTATCACGGATGGTCACTGACTTATCATGGATGGTCACTCGTCGCCCCACGATGCTATCACGAATAGTCACTGAAAGAAACGCCCGCTCGAAAGTTGAAATGTTTCCCATGCGTTGTCACACTGTTGCGATTTATAGACTAATAGTGCGTTAATTGTTGTTGTCGTTTTTGTCGCATAACTGTTTCTGTCTTGTGGCACCGTTTTGTCTGTAGTGTTGCAAGTTGTTGTATTTACAATAAAATTTTTGCGACCACCCTCGCGAAGTCGTTAGAAACTCACAAAATTTAGCCGGCCATTTTCATGTGCATGCAACTTAGTCGAGGCGCGCTATTCATTTGCATGCTATCCCGTCGTTTTTTAGCCTCTGTTGTTACTGTATGTACACCTCCGCCACGAAAATTATTGTTCTGTTAGGGGATGCTACAATCCGACTGACAGTAACCGGCGCAGCTCTCGCACGAGTTCGTCGTCCAACCACACCAGTCGCACAAAAATTACTGCGAACAAGATCAATACATCTCGCAACGCACCTGACAAAAACTGGCAAAAAAATATAAACCCAATTGGAAACGCATGCGACTCGGGAGGAATCAGCCCTAAACACGAGGGCAGTTCCCATGTTTAGGGTTGATGTGAAGAATGAGGAATGGAGTGGAAAGGAGTGGTTTCACTAGCAAGCAGTTGAGTACATATAGCAAACCCTAATTTTGGGCTGTACTCACTATTGAATACCCCACTGCAGGCTAGACAAACATAACATTCTGAACACCCCCATAGCCAAAGTGGGGTGTAATCAGCACAACAAGCAAGCAAAACACAAGCTCAGGGTGGATCACAATGTCACCACACAATCTGAGCACAAGTACAAGAAGCAACAGTTTAAAGTTCACAAATGTAAGCAAAGCTAGAGGCTATCACCGAGGGCAAGTGTGGAGGAGGAGGGACTATGAGAGGAGAGGAGGTAGTGGGCGGCAACTGAAGCTGCTGGTACACGGCGCAACTGGAGCAACTGGCACACGGGCATCTGGAGCAACTGGCACACTGGCAACTGGAGCAACTGGCACACGGGCTACTGGAGTAACTGGCTCCGCGGCTAGCTCTGAGCGGCAGGAGCAACGGAATCACGGGCGACTGGAGCAACTGGCTCACGGGCGACTGGCGCAACGGGCTCACGGGCGACTGGCGCAACGGTCTCACGGGCGACTGGAGCTGCTGGCTTCACGGCGGCCACCCCCTTTCAACCTCCCCAAACTATCCCACCCCCTTTCACACACCCCCTGCTGCACCCTAGGTTCACTCATACCCACCCCCTAGCACCACTCCGTCGACTCCCAGACACACCCACCCCCCTCAGCGGTAGCTGCAGGAGTGGGAGACAGAGGAGGAGGAGCAGGGGAGAGCACACACCCGCCACCCCCTACTCGCCACCCCAAACCCTAACAAAGGGCAGGGCCGGGCGACGGGTAGGGAGGTTACGGGGGGGGGGGGCAACGCGCGGCCTCCCAGGGCGCCAAAACAGGCGGCAGAAGGGGCGACGCTCCCCCCCCCCCCCCCTTGGTAGCCCCTCTCGTCGCCTGTCGAGGCGACCTGAGGAGGCCGGCGGTGCACGGGTCCCTGGTGCACCGCGACAGGCGACGGAGCATGGCCGGGGCGGGGTCGGGGCAGGGCCTCGACAAGGCCGCGGCGGGTGACGGAGCAGGGCCGCAACAGTGGGCCGCGACGAGGCCGTAAAGGGGGGCCGCAAGGGGCCTCGAAAGGGCGGCGACGGAGTCGCTAGGGGCAGCGACGGGGCCGCAAAGGGGCCGCGAGGGGCCTCGAGGGGCGGCGACGGGGCCGCTAGGGGCGGCGACGGGGCCGCAAAGGGGCCGCGAGGGGCCTAGAAGGGCGGCGACAGGGGGGCCGCGACGGGGGGCCGCGACACAAGGGCCGCGACGAGGGGCCGCGACAGGGCGACGGGGCAGGGCCGGGGCGAGGCCGTGACGGGGCCGCGAAGTGTGAAGAATGAGGAATAAAAAAGAGAGGAGTTGCACTAGCAGCAGTTGGCATACATATAGGAAACTCTAATTGGGTTGTACTCGCTATAGAGTACCCCACCGCAGGCTAGACAATTATAACATTCTGACACGAAGGGGCCACGAAGGGGCCACGAAGGGGCTACAAAGGGCCGCGACGGGCAGAGCGCGAAACGCGCTAAGGGCAGGGCAGAAAAAGGTTTAGCGAAGTGGTGGGCCCTAGGAAGGAACAGTCCCAGGAGGGAACCAGCTCTGATACCATGTGAAGAATGAGGAATGGAGTGGAAGGAGTGGTTTCACTAGCAAGCAGTTGAGTACATATAGCAAACCCTAAATTGGGCTGTACTCACTATTGAGTACCCCACTGCAGGCTAGACAAACATAACATTCTGATAGTTGATCCCTTCCGAAAAATGAGTCCAGGTTCCCTAGATTTTGTGTCCCACTCCCTTAAATGACATCAACCCTAAACACTAGGACGTTCCCGTGTTTAGGGTTGATCCCTCCCGAACAAAATCCATGTTTCTAAGAGTTGTATTTTTTCTTTCAAGCTTCCCTGCCAGGTCGATTTTGTGTGTGGCGTGTGTTGCGTGTGCTGCCTGTGTTGCGTGTGCTGCATGTGCTGCGCGGGCTGCATCCCCTGACAGAACAGTGTTTTTAGTGGCGAATGGGTACAAACAGTGGCAACCGAGGGAGAAAAACGACGGGATAGCATGCACCTGATTAGCGCGCCTCGGCTAAGTTGCATACACCTGAAAATGGCCGGAATTGATTTGCAACATCGGAAAGTTAGCTCGTGGCGCAGTGTTCACTGTTCGACTATCCACTGTTCGATTTATGCATAGTGTCCCTATGAATACAACTTTTAGACGGGTGAAACTCGAAGATTTTCCCGAGAAAAAAAACGAAAACCCATTCGGATGGGATTTTCCAAGGAGGGCGTCAACCCTAAACACATTTCGTATGGTGTTTAGGGTTGATTCCCCCGAAGGGTGTACCATCCCATAGGGTTTTATTTGTTTTTCTTCTCCTAGATGTCAGGCGAGAATCATGCGAGAGGTATCAAACAATCAAAATTAAGATTCCTCAAAATCTCTACAGTTTTTTTCACAGTGGCTTATGGAGTTCAATTTTCCTTGAGGGTTTTATCGAGTGACTATTTGCGATAGAAACGCGGGGCAACGAGTGACTATCCGTGATAGTACTCTGATCATCCGTGATAGATTTGCCCGTTACATTGACCGTTCGTGATAACGCTGTGACCATTTGTGATAACGCGGCTGTTGAATGACCATCCGTATAATAACCCCTCAGCAAATCCTGCTTGCAGCTGTTCACAGTGTTGGGGTAGGTGCGTGGGGGCATGTGGGGAGTGAGGGAGGGGAGGAGAAAGCGAGGGAAGGGCAGAGGAGCGGGCTGTGCAGGGATGTAGAGGTGGTTGTTGGCCCGGTTCGGTGCAGGGATAATAGGGAAATTAGGGCGTGGGCCCAGTCAAGTTTGATCGCTACTTACCTGATCGGGTTGGATCTGATCGGGTTGCTTGTGATCGTAGTGCCCGAGCCACCCGATCAGAGATGATTTTCCGAGAAGTTCTTGAGCGCCTTCTCAGCCAGCGCGATACATTTGCGTGGCATTTTGTCACGAGATTGACGACCAGGCTTCACCTGGCGAAGATCTTCGTTTCAGTGTAAGTGCAGCAGTGTTACTGCTCGCAAGCACCGCTGGGTGCCCCGATCACAATCAATCAATTGGTTGCCTGTGATCGAGGAAAATCGACTCTGATCGGGGTTAAAATCGGGTCTGATCGAGGCTGGGTGATCAGCTGATCGCGATCAGCTGATTGTCCCTGATTGCCTGAATTTGCCTTCCAGGATTCCTAGAAAATACTTCTCGCGGCTGTTCGAGGCGATTCAACCCGGTGGGCCCAGCCCTTACAGGTTACACTTTCTATACAATCAGGTCCGTTTCTGTACATGTATTTGATACAGCAGCTAAAGCCCAACTGGAGGCCAGCTGTGGAGCAGGGATTGGCCTGAGGGACAATCTTTCGAGACGATTTGCCAACGAACTCACTCTTCCTCATTCCGACCTGTGGAAAGCTTTTTTGGGCAGAAGCCATTTCTTCCCGCGTCGAAAGCCCGCTATTATCATGCAGCGTTACCTCTCTGTAAAAACACTCTCCAAATAGTAACTTGTGAACGCTTGTCCCAAAGATTGAAAGTCAATTCTGTAAAGTAGTTACGGTAGTGATTGTCCGCTCCTTTTTCACTGAGTATTGAGGGTGTTATTACTGAGTATCTCCAGAGCCACAATATCGATGCTTTTAAAATTACCAGAAAGGCTCCCAAACCATGAATGCACAACGCAGTGTCACATGAATGCACACAAACCATAGAAGACTCCCAATCTAAACAGTGCATGGTGGCAGACGTGCAAGGCGTCGCACGAGGGACAGCACAGCATGCAACTCTGTAAGTCACACAGGACAGGACCCCTTATGTCATCTTCCTATCACCGAATCCTCATGCCATGATTCAAGGCGTGCACTCGCTGAGCAGAAACTCCCTGTACAGGCACTCTCCATGCACAGATGTGCCCTTCCCATTCATTCCACCCACACCACCACCGCCCTGCACTCCCCTTTCACGGGGCCCCGAACCCCCCCTTCCCCCTCCCCCTACCCCATCCTCTGGTAGCGCCCTTGCGTGCAGCTGGGCTGGACTCATCCCCACCCATGGCTGCCAGGTCCACACACGACTGCACGCGCTGGCAACTCAACATGCCCACCCCACCCAGTAACCCACCACGATCCGCACGACCCGCCCCAGCACTAGCAGCAGCAGGCAGTGTGGCGGCACCACTGCTTGCACCGCTCCCCACCACCCCTCGTCCCTGCTGCCACCCACCTGACTGGGCGGGACACCTTGAGCCAGGGGGCTCTTCCTTAGGCCAACGGGTGACTGCCACGTCATCCCGGCACCGCCCGCACTGGCACGGGCGTTGAGTCGTCGCGCCCAGCCACCAGCGTTGTCGCTGTGAGCGGTGGCGAATGGCGAGCGCGGAGACAGCGGCCCTCTCAGGGCCAGCGGGGCCGCACTGGGGCGCCCATGGAACCCATGGCACCCACCACATCGCCATCTGCACCGGGACTCGCCATGTCCTCCTCCTCGCCCTCCCCCTCCTCCCCACCCGTCCTCAGCAGCCCCAGGCGCCTGGCCATGCGGAAGCTTCCTCGCAGGCTGCCTCCGGGGCTGGGCGCGCCTGCTGCTGCCGGGCTGGGCGCCCCGCTGCCAGGCATCATGCTGAAGAAGCGCCGTGAGCCGTGCTGGCTGCCGCCCGCCCTGCTACTCGCTCGTCCTGCTCCCTACCCCCAAGAGGCCAAAGAAGCGCCGTGAGCCGTGCTGGCTGCCGCCCCCCTCGTGCTGCTCGCCCTCCCTCGCCCTCATGGCACTCAAGAACCGCCTTGACCCGTGGAGACTGCCGCCGTGCACACTACCACCACTCTCTGCTTCCTTCTCCCCCTGGCCTGCCCTCATAAGCCCTAAGAACCGCCGCGAGCCACGATGGCTGCTCCCAGCCTCCACGCCCTTGCTCTCGCTCTCCGGACTAACCATCTTCCCCTTCCCCTTCCCCTCCCTCCTCCCTCCTCTACCTGCAGCACCCCGCGCAGCAGCAGCAGCATGGGCGACGGATTGGGGGTGGTGGTGGTCGTGGGGATCATGGTGCAAGCGGTGCAGGTCGTGGTGGCGCGTGACGAGAGCAGAGAAGTCAAGCAGGTCAAACAGAGGCACGGGAGGGATGGTAGCGGAGGACGATGAAGGAGGCACGGCCGGGGGTTGACGGGCGAGAGGGGTGGTCGCTGCTCCCTCCTGCTGCTGCTGCTGCTGCTGCTGCTGCTCCTGGCGCTGCTTCTCCAGCGCAGCAGCGATCCCACAGCCACCTCGCACGCGCTCCTCCCTCTCCACTCCCGTCATCGCATGCCCGTGCACCATACTCGGCGGCGCCACGGCCTGCTGAGCCATGACACTGCTGTGCACGGCCATGAGCTGCAGTGACAACCGCTGGTGCCCCAGGGCGTCTAGGCTTGCTACTAGTGCTGGCAGACACAGCATGGCTGAAGGGGGGTACTGATGCTGCTGCTGCTGCTGCTTCTCACCTCTGTGGTCGCTCTGCCCCTCACCCGTGTCTCCTGCTTCGCTCACTGCCTCCAGTGACGTGCCTGGTGCTGACGTGGCACTCGCCAGCTGGCGCACGAGCTGGCGGAACTCCGACTCGCTGAGCTCCAGCGACAGCAGGGCAACGCACGCGCGCTGAAGCTTCCTGGTAGCTGCGTACAGGCGGAAGCCTCGCAGCGACCCCTCCAGCTGCACGCCTCCCCTCACTCGCCCCTCTCCTGTTGCCCCTCCTTGCCCTGGCCCCTTCTGTAACACCGCCTCTTCCTCTTGCCCCACCCGTCTTGCCGCCACCTCCCCTTCCCTCTCCCCTCTCTCCCCATCCTCCTCTCCTGCCTTCCCTGTCCCCTCCTCCCGCGCCTCTGCTGCAGCCCCCGTTGCTCTCTCCCCCACACTTGCCTGCCGTGCGTCCGCAAGGAGCGCGGCACGAGGGTGGGCGGCCCGGGCCTGAGGGCTCCCACGCACCGCCACAGCGGGCTGCGCCCACTGCCCTGCAGCATCCCCTGTCACAGCCATGGCGCCACCCTCTGCAGCACCCTCTGCAGTAACGGCTGCAGCGCCGGCCAGCCAGGGGTGGAGCAGCGCGTGGGCTGCTGTGGGGCGCTGGCAGGGGTCGGGCTCCAACAGGGCACGCAGGAACGACTGCGCTGCTGGCGAGGTTTCTCGGGTAATGTTGGGACTATCCCTTTCTGATGAAGGGTGGATTGGGATAAAAAGGAGGCGGGTAAGAATTGGTGCTTAATGTACCAGTGAAGGTGCTAAACGCAATGAGAACAACCAGAAGGCGCAGTGCTTGTCAAGCTTCTTAGCCTCGAGTGCTGGGTACAGGCGACAGGAGGCCCAGCGTTCATCACATATGCCCCTGCCTGCACATTCACAGTGCCTCTCTCTCCCCTGCTGCGCGCCTCACCTGCATGGCCTGCCACGTGGCATTGGAGTGCACTGTGGCGCGAGTGAGTCCACTGGGGGGCGGCCCGGTGAGCAGCACGGCCACCACGGCGCCCGCACTCCACACGTCCGCCTGGGGGCCGTACGCATGTTGCCACACCTCAGGTGCGGCGTAGAACGCTGTGCCCATGAAGTCCCGCAGCACCACCGCGCCCTCTGCGCCCGGCACCACAGCCTCGCCATGCTGCACTGTGCTCTCAGGGCTCCCCTCTCGCTGCTCTGCCTTACTCCCCGCGCCTGGCGCTGCCTCCCCCGTGCTGCTGCTGCTGCTGATAGTGGTGCTGGTGGTGGTGGCGGTGGTGGTGGGAGCGGGGTGGAAGAGAGCAGCGCTGCCGAAGTCAACGAGCTTGATGGCGAGCGAGTGCGCATCCGACAGCAGTATGTTCTCCGGCTTCTGACAGGGGGGAAAGAGGGGGAGAGGAGGGGAGGGGAGTGGAGGGGAGAGGAGGGAAGGGGAGGGGAGGGGAGGGAGGAGAGGGTAGGGGAGGGGAGGGGAGGGGAGGGGAGGGTGTGCCGCGAGGGCAGGTGGTGTGAGCACGAATTGGGAAGTGCAGGAGAGTTGGCCTCACACGCGAGTGCAAATCCATGACTGCCTCGCTTCCGCCGCCTCTGCCAAGCAATGGGCACATGGCTCACCTTCCCACCACTCTCCTTCCCACCACTCTCCTTCCCACCACTCTCCTTCCCACCACTCTCCTTCCCACCACTCTCCTTCCCACCACTCTCCTTCCCCGCTCGTCCCCCTCTCAACTGTTATCCACTCAATCCGTGACCCCAGCATCCCAGCAAGCAAGCGAGCGTCAAATGTCGAGCTCCGTGTGAGCGCTCGCTCACTCGCCCCATCGCGGCATGCATGTGATTACTGGCCATGCCCAGCCAGCATGCAGCAGGCCTCACCAGGTCGCGGTGGGTGACGCCCCGCGCATGGCACAGCGCCACCGCCTGCAGCAGCTGCCGCGCTGATGGAGGGAGGGGGGAGCAGGGAGGGGGAGAGGGGAGGGGAAGGGGGCACTGGGTCACGAAGAGAGCGGTTGAACTGGGAGTAAATGGGGGAGTGGGCGTGGATGGGGAGGTGAGGGGGGATGGGGAGGGGGAGGTGCAGGGGGCTTCAATCAGAGATGGATGTGCGGGGCCGTCTGTGTGGCCCCCATGCACCAATGTGCACGTCATGCTGCCATATGAGTGCTCCCGCGACACACCAATGTGTGCAGCATCAGCCTCGGTGAAGGAGGAGCGCGCAGCGAGGGCCATGAAGAGGTCGCCGCCCTGGGCCTTGTCCGTGACGATGTGCAGGTGGCGGCTGTCCTCGTGCGTGGCCAGCAGGCGGATGATGGGCGGTGCGACCGGTGCTGGTGCTGCCCACAGCTGCCACGGGGAGAGGAGGTGGGCATGGAAGGGAGAGATGGGCGCAGTAGGAAAGAGAGTGGCTGTGTTGAGATGAGGTGTGGGAGGGAAGGATGAGGGAGGAATGGAATGGACGTGCATTGCGGTTGGGAAAGGAGCTTGCTGATGAGAGGTGAGTAGCACTTGGGGAGGGCGCAGTGAGTGAGGCAGCAGGACAGCAGAGGAAGGAGGTGGACTAACCCACAGCGTATGACTGGAAGCGGCACAAGGTCGGCCGAAAACGAGAAGACGGTGTCAACGGAATGAGCGCAGGGAGTGTGAATGGGCGGAGAGCGAGGTGGAGGGAGAGTGGGATGAGATGAGATGAGATGGGGCCGAGGGAGGGAGGGAGCAGGCTCACCCGCTGCAGCGCCTCGATCTCGATGGTCTGATGGCGCCCGCAGCAGTGACGCGCAGCGGTGAGGCGCAGCGATCATGTGCAGAGATGGCAGCGAAGAGGTGAGGGGATAGGCACAGAAGAAGGGGGAAGCACGGGGAGAAGCATGACGGGGAGAGGGGGCAATGGACGGGGGTCGAGGTGGGAGTGATCGGGGTGGAGTAGATGGAGTGAGAGGGTAGTGGAGAGGAGGAGCAGTAACGAAAGGAGGAGAAAGCATAGATAGGCAGATGCAGGAGTGATGGGTGGGATGGGCGCAGTGGGCGAGAGAGCAGCACTGACGCGGCTGATGTAGGCCGGGCGTGCATTGAGAACCTTCTTGGAACATGCCTTCACCGCCACCACCGCGCCCGTTGCCCTCTCCACCGCCTCCCTGCCCTCCCCCCACACATACAGGGATACGCAGTGATGGCGGTGGTGCGCGCGGGGCGATTGGCGGAAAGGAGGGGGGAAGGGAGAGAAGGCAGGGGGAAAGAGGGTTCTTGGGAAGGCAGAGGCAGCGGTGAAGGGCACAGGGACCAAGACCAGAGGGGAAGTGGGAGGGACGGGGAAGAGCAGGTGGGGATGAGGGGGCGCGGTGGTGGGGGGAGAGAGGGGGGCGTGCAGCGGGGCGGGCAGGGCGCGCACCTGACGGAGGCCACGCGGCCGCACCCCAGAGTGTTGCCCACCAGCTTGTAGTGAGCTTCCAAGGAACCTTCCGGGCCCACCTTGGTCGCTGACGTCAGCATGGGGTCCTTGACGTGCTTGTGAGGGGGAAGCGATGCTGACGTGGCGGCATGGAGTGACGACGAGGACGGCTCCACTGCCGTGCTGGACAGGCAGCAACCCATGGCGATTGGCGACAGCTGTGATAATAACGAGGGGCCAGGTGCCACGGGTGGAGCGTCGCAGCGTTCCAGGGGTCAACGGAGTCACTGCTTGGCGCTAGCGCGCTTCGCTGACGCGCAGCGCCCCGGTCATCGCTCAGCGAAGGCGGGCGGAGGTGGCCACCTGGACGATGACCCGCGACGCTCGCATTCACGCCGCGCTGCTTTCTCTCACTGCACGACGCGACGCGCGGGCGTGCGCATGGGCGCTCTTTGCGACCGGCGCGCTTGGGTTGGGGATGGCGAGCGGCGAGACTCGCTGGAAAGACACGGCGCGCTGTCGGTTTTTTGACAGCGAGGGCTTTCGTCACCCGCATTCCCCGCTGCTCCCGTGTGAGTCAACTGGGCGTCACTCACTTGGTGCCGGCAGGAGTGGCGAGGTCAGGTGGCGACTACTGCATTGCGCTGCTGCACGCACGCGACGGCTGCTGCTGATAGCACTGCTCCGTAGGAAGCGGAACGTGATATGAGCGCGAGAGTGAGTGACTGGGCGGGCGTTAGCCGCGCAGTGCTTGGAACAGGAGCACCGTGGCATCACACTTATCAACTCGTGGATCTGTGATGCCGCATTTCAGAAACAGTGGTGGTGCGGTCGAGGGAATCGTGACGTGCACCCGGAGGAGTCGACGTGGCACGATTCCGTTGACTCGGAACCACGTGCGGCTGACTGCGCGAAGCGGAGCCTCGCCACGTGAAAGATTGTGGACGGTGCGCCGTCCGATATTTGCATTAGACGAGATGGGTGGTACTGTAGCTAAGTGGGAGGTGTAGATGACGGCAGAACGATATCTTACGAAATACGACTACACGAGCCCGCCGAAAATATATCAGTAACCACAGGTGACGTTTCGTGAATTCGTCGCCATCGACGTTCCGTCATGGTTCGCAGGAGCAAGCACCCATCCCTTCCAGTTGCCATTTCGTTGAGACATTCCCTACGAGTCTTTTCACCTCACATTCCCACGCATTCCTGCCATAATAAAGCCACACTTGAAACGGCTTGGTTTGCGTGAAGGACAGCGCCTCGCAACTGCGCTCCTCTGAGTCATCGCAATTTGAAACGCTTCTCTCCTCCGATCCTTGTTTCCGCCTCGCCCGTCACGGTGTTGTTATGCTTGCTTTGACACTCTAACAGCGCCACTATCGTCATCGCTCTCGCCGTCGCTATCGGCCTTCAGCGGTCGCCGCCATGCTCAAGGACAAGCGCGCCGCCTTCCTGCGGCAGCAGGAGCGCGTGCAGGCGCGCACCGTCGTCGACCATGCCGCCGCCACAGCCGCCAGGCGCCAAGCCGCCCCTTCCCCCGCCCGCGCGCCGCGGCGAGCACCGCTGTCGCGGGGGAAGTTGCGGGGAGCGGAAAGGGCATCGCGGTGGGGGTTTCAGGGGCTGCAGGCGGAGAACTGGCTGGCGGACGCGGGGAAGTACGAGGCGGTGCTGCGCGTGCGACAGCTGCCGCTGGGGCAGAAGATCAAGAAGGTCATCGACCTCCTCTTCCGGGTACGCGCGCCGCCCCTGCTGCGGCTGCCCCCGCCGCTGCCTGTGCTGGCGCTGGGGACTGCGGGGGCTGCGAATTGCGTGAAGGCGCTACCCCATCAGTGCGCCGACCATGCGCGCAGTTGTACTGCCTCCACGCGCACAGCGAGCGGTGGGCAGGATCAGCATGGTGGAACCAGCGCCCCTGCCCTCTCTGCTTGCGAATAATCCCCTCGCCTCCCCGCCCTCCCTTCGCCTCCCCTTCCCGCCCTCCCCTCCTCTCTCCCTTTCCTCCTTCCCCACCCTCCACGCCCTCCCCTCCCCACCCTCCCCGTGCCCACCTCCTCCTGCAAGGAACAGTACAATACCGTCTGAAGCGCTACTGACTCGCTGCATGCATCCACCTCCCCCGTGCCCTGCCCTCCCCGTCCCGCTTCTCCCCCTGTGCGTGCGCTGGCACAGGAGCGGCAGGGGCTGACGGCGGAGCAGGTGGAGGCGGTGACGATGGTGGGACGTCACCACCAGCCGCGAGCTGCAGGCCAGCCTGCGTGCCAACCCCAAGGTCGCCGTGCACGGCAACACCTACATCTACAAGGTGCGCCCCCGTGCTGGCCCCCACGCCCTCTGCTGCCATGCCTGTGCAGCCTGCCGCCTTCCTTTGCTGCGTTGTGGCGCCCTGCCTGTTGTTTCCTCCATTCCACCCCCACTGTGCCCATCCGACCTTCCACCCACTCCCTCCATGCTTCCCCCATCCCACCCTCCCCGCCTCTCCCTCGCCCTTTCCCCCCCCCTCAACCGTCATGGCAACGCATACACGAGCAGGCGAAGCACGAGTTGGCGGTCGGGACGACCTGCTGAGGCTGATCCGCGAGCACAAGGACGGCATCCCCATGGCGACGTGCGCGACTCGTACAGCGCCGTGGCGCAGCACGTGCAGGAGCTGCGCGCCATGGGGCAGGCGTGGGTGCTGTTCAACGCGGACAGCGGCGACGAGGTGCTGTTCCCCAACGACCCGCGCATCGCCATCAAGGTGGACCCCGACATCCGCGCGCTGTTCCGCCGCATCGACCTGCCGCGCGACCTCACCGACCTTGAGAAGGAGCTGCAGCGCTGCGGCCAGAACCCCGCCATGCCCGCCGTGCGCCGCCTGCAGGCCCTCGAAGGCGCCATGACCGCCCAGGTGAGGGAGGAGAGAGAAAGGGAAAGGGGGAAGGTGGGGGGTTGGGGGGTGGGTGGTGTGGATGTGCAGGCATGAGGCGGTAGCATGCCGTTCCTGCTGTGCCTGCAGGCCTTGCAATGGGGCTGGTCGCGATGGTGAGGGGCGCGGTGGTTGAGGTGGTGGGAGGAGGGAGCAGGGAAGTAGGAGGGATGCGGCATGGGAGATCTGCTGTCTAGAGCGCTGGCTGAAGGTAGTGCTGGTGTAATGGGGTTGCATGTGTTGACTGCACAAGTGAGAAGCCTCCTCCATATCAGTCCTCTTGTTTCCGCCCCTCCAGACGCAAAAGCCCAAGGCGAAGAGGAAGCGGGAGTCGAAGCGCACCAAGTACACCAACAACCATCTGCCAGAGCTCTTCGCCAACACACCCATGTGATCGCCCTTGCTCTCGCCTGCTCACTTCGTTTGAATTCTGTTGGCCTCTTCTCTTCGTATTGAAGCTTACCCTATTAGCCCAATGGCTTCATTGTGGGCCATGGTGCGTGCAACAGTTACGGCACCAAGTGGCATGTCTAATCCGAGTGTTCCTCCCTTGTACATATCTCAGGGAACTGTCTTCTATAATATTCATTTTTGTACCAAGCCTAGTGGAGGTTCTGTGAGCATTGTGGTACTGAACCATGGCTAACAGTTTCAGTGGTTGGATTTGTCAACTCCTTGGTAGCTAACGCACACAAAATCTTTCAGAATCAGCCATGCGTAACATGACAGTGCTCGCCCGTTACCCTACCACGTTCGCCACTTGAATCTCACTGACACACCAGCCGCCTCGCCTTCGAGTGCTTTCCTGACAGGCGGGAACGATCTGCCACTTGGCAGCATGCATCGCACAGGTTTTCGCGGGCTAAGTTGGTGGTATGCCACGCCCTTGGTTCTGTTCTCAACCGTCCATGCCCGTGCCCGATTTCAGGGTTCCATGTGCCATCCATGTCCCACCCGTTCCCCCCCAAAGCCCCATCCATGTGTGTTCCACCTTCAAATCTGCAACTCCACATCTTTCGTCTGCTCCTCAGTCCCGCTTCCCAACAGAAATTGGTTTCGTGTTGTGTGCCATTGCGAATCCGTCAGTCACTCATATCCCAGACACACCTTTAGGGAGTTGTGACCAGGAATCTAGATCTCGAAGTGCATAGCTCGGAAAATGGTGAGCTACGGTAGTTTTGCGTTTCGCCGCAGTAGACGTTTATAAGCATCTCTGCAGAATCTTAAAGTGCTGTCGTGTCCCGCCTTGTCGGTATTATGCAGGCTCTCCCTGGTCAGACCACACCTGAAGGTTGCCCCAGCTTCAAGCTAATTCTGTTGGTGATGGTGGTACAGGTGCGCATCTCTCTTTGCACAGTTCGGTTATGCGACGCTTAGGCAGGAGCGTTTAATTGTTGTCATTTTTGTTGTTTCAGGAAAGACAACCTTTGTGAAGCGTCACTTAACGGGTGAATTTGAGAAGCGCTATGAACGTAAGTTAAGATGTGATGTTTTTAGTTTTAGCTTTACTGCTCTAATCTCGTATCAGCGTTAACAGTCGCTTCGTTGCTCATGCCGCAGCCACTATCGGTGTGGAAGTCCACCCCCTTGATTTCTACACCAACTGCGGTCGGATTCGCTTCTACTGCTGGGACACAGCAGGTCAAGAAAAATTCGGCGGACTTCGCGACGGTTACTAGTAAGCTCTTCCACGATTGTCAGCACATGTATCCTAGTTTCTACCGACGTTCGTTTTCACCGTGTAGCCCATAGCTTAATGTCAAACGAGCTTCAAGAAACGGGTCGGTTATGACCTAAAAAGCCACATTTCGTTATTCGTACTGGGGAGCAGATCATTGCGACTGTCAAGAGGGAGATTTTATCTGGGAGCGACTTCAAGCTTTACATGCTAGCTAGTGTCTGGGGAGTGGATCGGGCGTCGGGGACAGCGATGTGCGCTGCGCTGGTAGCGTGCTCGTTGTGCCCATACGATGTAGCGACTGCGTTGCCGTAGCCCTCTCGTTGTCCTCCCGTTTTTCCGACCGTTCTCAACCAACGACGACCTCAAACTGACCCGTTTGTATTCCCCTTGGCATTTCAGTATCCACGGCAATGTGCGATCATCATGTTCGATGTGACATCGCGGCTTACATACAAGAACGTCCCTACATGGCACAGAGATCTGTGCAGGTAAGCTTGAAGCTTGTAGGTTGCATTTTGAACGAAAAGTTGAGGCCTCGTTGCTTATTCATTTTTTCTATACCTCTTTCCCAGGGTGTGCGAAAATATCCCCATCGTCCTCTGTGGAAACAAGGTTGACGTGAAGAACCGTCAGGTAAAGGCCAAGCAGGTCACTTTCCATCGCAAGAAGAATCTTCAGTACTACGAGATTTCTGCCAAGAGCAACTACAACTTTGAGAAGCCCTACCTGTATCTTGCCAGGAAGCTTGCTGGGTAAGTTCATCTCCATATTTCTCCGAGGCTGTATTTCCTCTGTAGACTCTTGTGGAATCGCCAATCTTCACTATGTGACTCTGTTACTGCTTCCAGGGATGCCAACCTTCACTTTGTGGAGTCGCCTGCTCTTGCACCACCTGAGGTCGCCATTGACCTTGAACAGCAGGCCAAGTAAGTGGAGTAACGATGCCAATTAGTATGAGCATCAATTGTGAGTCGGTAATTCATTCCTTGTGTTACTGTCTGTTCTGCAGGTACGAGCAAGAGCTTGCTGCTGCTGCTGCACAGCCCCTTCCAGATGAGGATGATGACTTGGTGGAGTAAACTGGTCGCAATTTTCAAACGTCGTCTGTTGATTAGCTGCAATCATACAAATCTTTATGTATTTGCATTGATAGAGGTGATTCATACCAGCTGCCTGTAGCTTATCCCTTATTTGTAGTATCACCAATATTCATAGGCTAGTTACCAGATCATTTGAGATATGTACTCTCATAATGCCCATTTGCGTCTACCGTCGCCGCCTATTAAGACATATATGTCTCATCTGGTATACGGGCAAAAATGCTTGAGTTATCTTGTAAACGGGATGGTTAAGGATGTTGAAGTCTTATAAATGATTTTCTTAGTTGATTGTAACATTTGCAAAGTGCGTAGAAACCACCCAGGGGCTAGAATCATTGAAACAAGCTGACCTCGGTGGTGATGTATGCAGCACCCATACTCGCCACGCGAGGAGCTGCCACCGCTGTCTGTGAGAATTTAGAAGAAAGAAGAGGACTGCACTAGCAAGAATGGGGTTACAAATAGGAAACCCTAGAAAGGTTGTACTCGCTATAGAGCACCCCACTACAGGCTAGAGTATAAGATAACATTCTGACACACCCCATAGCCAAAGTGGGGTGTAATCAGCAGAGCAAGCAAAGCAGTACAAGCTCAGGGTGGATCACAATGTCACCACACATTCTGAGCACAAGTTCAAGAAGCAATAGTTTAAAGTTAACAATTATGAACAAAGCTAGTGGTAGTCACAACGGGCAAGTGAGGAGGAGGAGAGAGAGTGAGAGGAGAGGAGATAGGAGGCGACGGATGAAGCTGCAGACACACGGGCAACAGGAGGCACACTGGCACAGCGGCTACCGGAACAACGCTCCGGAATACTGGAGTAACTGGCCCCGCGGCTTAAGTAGCGGCAGACGAGCAACGGACCCACGGGCGGCTGGCACAGCTGGCTACGACTGGGCTACCGGACGAAGTCCCCGGAATACAGGTGCTGCTGGCGACACGACGGCAACCTCCATTCAGCTTCCCCAAACGATCCCACTCCCCCTGACACACACCCGCTGCTACACCCCTAGCTCCACTCTCACCCCACCCCCTAGCACCACTCCGTCGAATCCCACACACCCACCCCCCTCAGCGGTAGCTGCAGCAGTGGGAGACAGAGGAGGAGGAGGAGCAGGGGAGACTACACACCCGCCACCCCCCAACGGCCCCCTCAGGTCGCCTCGACAGGCGACGGGATAAAGGGGGGGGGGGGGGGGTGCACGTGCCGTAGGTAGGGCGACGGGGTCGGGCCTGTAGGGCGGCGGGACGACGGGCCGCAGGTAGGGCGGGCGGGGCCGGGGCCAGGGCCGCAGGTAGGGTCGCCCGAGCCGCGCGCGGGCCTGGCGCCGCCCGTACGGGTCGCGCGCGGGCCTGGCGCAGCCCGTACGGGTGGTGCGCGGGCCTGGCGCAGCCCGTACGGGCCGCGGACGGGTCGGGCGCGACCCATACGTGCCGCGCGCAGGCCACAACGGGCGACGGGGGGCGACGCGGAGGTCCCCGTCGCCCGTCGCAGCGCCTCCCAGGAGCGGCGCGCGGCGTGACGGGGCAGTAACCCGCCGCGCGCCTCGGGGCGCACGGCGGGAAGAGAACCGCCGCGCGCCTCGGGGCGCACGGCGGGCTGAAAACCGCCGCGCGCCTCGGGGCGCACGGCGGAAGGAAAAACTGCCGCACGCCACGGGGCGTGCGGCATAGAGAGTAGTGATAGTAGTAGCAGTAGGAGTTGCAGCGGAAGCAACGAGGTGGTAAGTCCACCCACAGGATCGATCCAAGAGGATCGACCTGCTCTGATACCATGTGAGAATTTAGAAGAAAGAAGAGGACTGCACTAGCAAGAATGGGGATACAAATAGGAAACCCTAGAAGGGTTGTACTCGCTATAGAGCACCCTACTACAGGCTAGAGTATAAGAAACATTCTGACACTGTCAATATTCCTCTGTGCTGGCAGCATCTAATGATGCTGGCAGCGTCGTTTTGCTGCCAGCAGCGCAAGGATGTTTCCAGAACGCTGCTGGCAGCACGTTGTAATGAGAACTAAGGCAAGAGTGAGTGGATAAGGTAGAGATTCGGGTACAAGACTAGAGTGTCGAGGTTGTTTTTGTACCCTCTAAGACTAACCCCACTACAGCCTACCCAATTATAATCAAACAAGTATGTTTGACACACACCCATAAGCAAAGTGGGGGAGAACAAAGGGTCACAAGACCAGTCAGGAAATGCAAAGCAAGCTCAGGGTGGATCACAACGTCACCACACAGTCCGAGCACAGGCAAAAGACCACAAGGCCAGTTCACAACAACAACACAATGATCACTACCTACCAGAGCAAGCAGGCAGGTATATATATATGTATATAAATCACAGTACAAGTAAAACCTACAGCAAGTGGGGAAGAGGGGGCACAAGGCCAAACAAAGTACAGAAATGCTGATGAT